TACTACATGACTAGTCCAAAATGGTTTGAAATCTTTAACCCCGTCTGGGCATTCCGTCCGAAAATAGATTTTAAATTAAAAAGGCAGAGCGCCTGCGACGCGACATCTATTAGGTTTCAGTCTTATGTAGCGGTCTAGTGCGGACTAGTTTAAATGATAGAAATATGTGCAGAAAGTTAGATTCGTACATGCATAACTTGTGTTACTTACTCGTCGTCTACCCGATTGAGCCATATGATCTAGTGATCAACTTTTACATGTCAATACACATCTGAAGACAATAATTACTACAGTTTGACTCAGCGTTTTCTCAAGTTTTAATATTTATAGAAACTACTTGTAATAAAATCGAAAATTAGTTAAATAAAGCTAAGCAAAATTAATTCAGAATTTTTTTAATTTCCTTCAACAGAATTTTTTTTTTTGATTATCGACATTTGGAAAAAATTATTTTCTATTGGAAAAAACAATTAAAATTTAAATAAAAATAAAAATAATAATATATATTTCAAAAAAGATCTTGCTTTTCATCTCACGATTTATGGTTATCTTAATTTAAAATATTTCCTATTTAAATTTGAAAGTGAACTATGATTCTATCGTTTAAATCCATTTTTAAATTCAAATCACTAGGTTTCATATTGAAATAAAATAATACTCTCATATCAATGCATTAAAATTAATTTTTTGAATAAAATTATTCTTGATTGTTATTACAATATAAAAATTTAAAAGGACATAAATAGCTAACTGTCGTTAGATACATCGTTCTAGTCCCAATTAGGGGTGGGAAGTTACCGTTCCCAGACCGTTACCCGGGAACGGTAACGGTAACGGTTCCTATGGAAGGAGTTACCAGTTACCCGAGTAACTGGTAACGGTCCCGTTACCAGTTACTTTTTCCTGGTAACTTTTTGAAAAGACTAAATATCACTTCTATTGGACCGAATATTGACAATACACCAGTAAAAAAAACTTGGAGTTACCAGTTACCCTGGCAACTGTTACCCGTTACCAGTTACCTGAGAACGGGTCAACTTAAAAAATAACGTAGTTGCAAAATTCTGTTGATGGGAACTAATAATTCATCTTTTTAGAGAAGTTACCAGGAAAAAGTAACTGGTAACGGTTCCGTTACCAGTTACCCAGGTAACGGTAACGGGACCGTTACCGTTACCCGGGGACGATAACGGTAACTTCCCACCCATAGTCCCAATACAAACTAGTCTAAACGAATTGTCCGAATGATTAAGTCCAAGCAATAAAGACTTTTTGGAGGGCGTGGGGTGTGGGTGTGGATAAGGAACTAGAGAGACTAACTAGTACGAGAATTACAATGGTAAAAAGAACAGCAATTTTGACTGCTTGAGTTCATCAAGACGTTCTTTATCTACCATCTTAGACTGTAAGACCAGCGTGTCACTTCATATTCTCTCAAAAGTAAATCTCAACATGATTACGGACATCCGACCGTTTTCATTCCGAACACCCTGTAGTTTTTATTACGACCTTCATGTATTTGTCATTACGAACTCCTGAACATTTTGATTCCGATCTCCCGGCAAAATTTCGCTGTTTTTTCACAAAAAAACGTCATTACGAACTCCTGACCACATGTTGTTCCAAACATCCTGTTTTTTGTTATATTTTACGGACTTTTTCATTACGAACTTCATTCCGAACACCCTGTCTTTTTTCTTATGTCCGAAGATCGTAACGGACTGCTTCACCTGGAGTTCGTAATAAAAAGTTGAGACGAAAAGTAACTTTCCCAATTCGAGAGCCTTCCTGACAGTTGAGATCATGGACTCTATTAGAAACATAACCTAGTTCAGGTAAAAGTAATTTTCGATTCCCATTCTGAATCTTTCCCATCATTTATTGATATTATATCAAGAAACAAATGCTATTAGGCACGGCATGCGTGTGGTTATGTTTACATTTAATGTCATATCTACATAGGGGAAGTATCTTTCGATAGAAGATCTTGAAATTCGACGAGCTTAACTTACCATCAGCTTCTGATGTTTCAGTATCTTCACTTTCATCAATTTTGCTGAAGCTTGTTAATGCTTTTTCTACAAAAATATTTATTTCAATATAATGCATATTAAAAATGATAATTCTAGAAAAATCTCCCGCCTGTGTTTCGTCCAATCTGAAAATAAGGTTCTTATTATCATGGTAGGCCAGAATAATATTTATTATTCTAACTCAGGAAGCATGACGTAGCTAAGATCGTAAATGTTTCAGCGCTTTCTGTTTAGGGAGTGCTCCTGTCCGTAAAGGTCTCGAGTTTTATAATGAGTATAGTCTATTTCAACGAAAGTGTAGTCTTCAACTTCCACTTCAAATCTCTTCTCCCCCGTTTTGACATGCTATCAAAATAAAACATGTTATTTCGAGCGTTATGCGTGTGGTTCGTCTTTTGAAATTTCAATCCAAAAAAGTTGTAGAGACCGAAAAAGGATATGTTTTCATGGATAGAAACCGATATTTGACAGACTGTACTTACCAGCACTCTCTTCACTTTCACCAGTGTTGCTCGATTTTGTTGCTTCTATTCCTAGAAATATGTTTGTTTGAGTACTGTAGATATGAAGAATGATAATTCTACAAAAATCTGGCGCTCACATTTGGTGCGGTCGTATTATTAGCTACTGTACACTTTTTCTTATCGTGACATCTACTAATAAGATTAGCCATTTTCATTCAGGAAGAATGAGTCAATTAAGATATTATCAGTTCAGTATTTTCTATTACAAGACTCTGTTGGCCCAGGGTTGTCTAGTTCCATTGAGAATAAGTCATGTTTTAGCGAAAATGTATTCTTCAATTTCCACTGGGAATTTCTTCCCTGACATTTGGACATTACATGAAAAGAGAACGTGCTATTCCATTCGTAGTATGTGTGTCATGTATTTTCCAGCTTCAGTTCAAGATAAGTTTTAGAAAAATGAGAGAAGGGTATGTGTTTCATGAATGAAATTTAACATTGAACGGCTAGTACTCACCAGCAGCCTCGATTGATCCAACATCTTCACTTTCGCCAGTTTTGCTTGATTTTGCCGGTGCTTCTACTAAAAACAGCTTTGTTTTAGTGTACTGCTTATCAAGAATTACAATTCTACAAAAATCTATCGCGCGTGTTCGGTGCGATTGAATAATTAGGTACCGATCATGCACTTTTTCCTGTCGTGACATATAATAATAGATTTGCCATTTTCACTCTGAGCAAATGAGTCAATCCAGATTTTTACTGTGTCAGCATTCTGTATTTCAAGAACCCTGCTGCTTGTAATGGTCTCCAGTTTTATTGAAAATAAGTCCTGTTTCAGCAGAAGTGTATTCTTCGATTTCCACTTGAAATCTCGTTTCTGACGTAATATCAAAAGGAAACATGGTGTTCCATTCGTCATACATATGGAATTCATTTTAAAGTTTGACTTCAAAATAATTTTTAGGATATTGAAAAAGGCTTGTGCTTTGATGGATGCCAATTAATATTTGACTAGTTGTACTTACCAAAAGTCTGAGCCAATCTAACATCTTTGCTTTCAGCAGTGTTGCTCAATTTTGTTGCTTCCTTTTCTAGAAACAGATTTGTCTTAGTATTTTTCATCTTAAGAATGATAATTCCACAAGAACCTTTCTCTAGTACCTGACACAAACCAAAGTTAAGGTATAGCTCACTTTCCCTATTGTGACATATTTTAATACAATGGGTCATTCTAATTCATAGAGCATGACTTAGTTAAGACTTACCATTTCAAAATTCTGCATTGTCGGAATCCTACTGTTCATAGATGTCTTTGATTCTGCTAAGATTATCGCCTATTCCAGAAAAAGAACTATTCTTCAATTTCCATTCTAGATCTCTATTCTGACTTTTCAAAAAATATCAAAAGAAAACATACTATTCACTTCTTCATACATGTGGAATGCATTTTAAAGTTTCACTTCAAAATAGTTGTCAGAAAACGAAAAGGGCACATGCTTTCAGAGATAAAAATTATTATTTAACGGCCTATACTTACCAGTAGCCTCGACCGATCCAACATCCTCACTTTCACCAGTATTGCTCAAATTTGGTGCTTCTTTCCCTAGAAACAGATTGATTTTAGTATAATGCATATGAAGAATGCTAATCCTACAAAACTGTTCCTCTAATATTTGCGGCGATCCAAAAGTTAGGTATTGCTTATTTCTTCTTATCGTGGCATAGAATAATAAGAGACGCCACTCTAATCCTGCGAGCATTACATAATTCTGATAGGAAATCCTATTTCAGGAAAAGTGTTTCCTTCGGCTTTCATTCTGTGTGTTTGCTGTACTATCTTGATATAATACCCAAAGAAAATGCGCTATTCGGTTCATCACAGATAAGTAGTTTATGTTGAAACTTTACTTCAGAATAATTTTTAGAAAACGAAAAATGGAATGTATTTCCATGAATGAAAGGTAACATTAAACGATTTGTACTTACCGATAGCCTCGACCAATCCAGCATTGTTACTCTCATCAGTTTTGCTTGATGTTGTCGGTGCTTTTGCTAAAAAGATGTTTGTTTTAGTATTATGGACATGCAGATTGATAATTCTACATAAATCTCTCGTTTATGTTTCATATAATGTAAAAATTAGGTACTGTGCACTTTTCTCATCGTGATATATAATGATAGTATTTGCTATTTCATTTCAGGAAAATGACTCAGTTAAATATGTAACTGTTTCAGCATTCTGCATTTTGAAAGCCCTACTGTCGTTCATGGTGTCAGTTTCTATTGATAATAAATCCTATTTCAGAGAAAAATACCAGAAGAAAAACATGCCATTTAGTGCGTCAGATATGTATTATTTTCATGTATAACTTTCAAATAAATTTGAAATAACAAAAGGAAAATTTGTTTTTGATGAAGGATGTTTAAAACTTAAAGGCCCGTGCGTACTATCAGCCTGACCCGATCTAACATCTTCAGTTTCACTAGTTTTGCTCGATGTTGTTGGCGCTTTTTTTTTAGAAAAGTATTTGTTTTGTTATTATGCGTATGAGAAACGTTAATTTTACAAAAAACGGCTCCCTGATGTTTCTATGCGACCCGATAATTGGGTTCTATGCACTATTTTTTAGTGTGACGTGTAATAATAAGGCTTGTCACTCTGGTTAGGGGACAATTACTTAGTTAAGATCGTAACTGTTTTAACATTTTGTATTTTGAGGATCTTACGGTTTTCAGGTTTCTTGAGTTCTGTTGAGAATATAACCTGCTTCAGAAAAACATTATTCTTCGATTTGCATTATGGGTCCCTGTTCTGCATTTAGGAAAAATATCAAAAGGAGATAGACCATTGCCTTTGTCATGCATGTAGAATTTATAATAAAGTTTCAATTCAGGATAATTCATGGAAAACCAACAAGGCATGTTTTTCTGAATGAAAGGTAACAGTAAACAGTTTGTACTTACTGGCAGTCTCGATTGATCCAGTAGTTTTACTCTCATCAATTTTGCTTGATATTGTCGTTGCTTTTGCTAAAAAGATATTTGTTTAAGTGCTCTGCATATCAAGAATAATGATTCTACAAAAATCTATCGTTCATGTTAGATATGATATAAAAAACAGGCACTGTGCACCTTTTCTCATAGTAACATATAATGATAGGATTCACTATTTTCATTCGAGGGTAATGACTCAGTTAAATTTGTAACTGTTTCAGTGTTCCGAATTTCAAGAATCGGGCTGCTTGCAGCTGTCGTGAGTTGTACAAAGAATAAATTCTATTTCAGCAAAAGTGTAGTTTTCGGTTTTCATTCAATGTTTTATGTAACGTTTTGACTTCATATCAAAAGAAAACATGGTATCTATTTCACCATACGTATGTGTAATTTCCTTTAAAATATGACTTGAAAACACTCTGAGATACTAAAAATGAAATTAATTTTGATGGGTGTAATTAAAAAAATGTGACGGTTTGAACTTACCAACAGGCTTCAGCGTAGTTGTATCTGTACTTCCATCAGTTTTGCTCGATGTTGTTGCTTTTTTTTCTAGAAAGATATTTGTTTTTGCAATATGCATATGAAAAATGAAAATTCTACAAAAATATGTTGCGGTTGCTTGGTATGATCCAGAAATTAGGTGTTACCCACTTCTTCTCGTGACATATGATAATAAGGTTTGCCATTCTAGTTATCGGAACATGACTTAGTTAAGATTGTAATTGTTTCAGCATTCTTTATTTTGGTAGTCATGCGAGCTGTATGAGATCTCGTGTTCTATGAAATATAGATGCCGGTTCAGAAAAAAAGTGTTTTTAAATTTTCATCTTATATATCTATTGTGACTTTTTCATGTAATATCAATAGAAAAAATGCTGTGTAGTTCGTCTTATGTGTACTTCATTTTAAAATAGTAATGAAAAGTAAATGTGATATAATACAAAGAGACTTTGTTTTGATGAATGAACTGTAAGACTAAACGACTTGAACGTAGGAGCATATGTGGCTATTTGACATCTTCATTTTCAGAAGTTATGCTTGAATCAAGAAAAGAATTCATCGTACAGATATCAATTCTTCAGAGAATAGTGGATTTTTGTTTGTTTGAACTCTACAGTTCATAAATTTACAAATTTGGATTTAAGGTTGTTATGGTAGCTGTCATAGTTTCCATTTCTCACAAACAGAATATCCAATTCACAATTCTCGAATCAAAAGCCAATATGATCTGAGATTTCTCTAGTGCAATATGTTGCTTTGTTTTCTTCTTTCGAGATGAGAATTCTGTTAAGATCACGTTGTCTCTCTCTCTCTCCAATGTTCTAACGTGATCCATGGTAGGTTATGCTGAAACAATACATATCTAGAACTTTCTCACTAATCGAAAGATCATATTGATATTAAATAATGCAATTTACTGAATACAGAAAATTGAATTATAAGATTCTGATTTCATTTAGTACGAAAGCGGCTTTCTACGAGTTGTCACCATTTCATTTGATTTTCTTTCTCCCAATTGTTTTGTCACTGAAATATGTGTGGCAATATGTGTCAATGACTACGAAGAGACATGATCCGTTCCGAATGGTTGTTATAATATCTTGAAAGTCGT